CAATGAAGTGAAAACTCTTGTTTTATTTATTGCTTTATTTCCAGTGTCTCCATTTGTATCAGACACATATTCATAGAGTGAATGCATGAGGAATATGCTTTCCCTGGACTTATATAGTCAAAGCCTAAATTTACCAACCATGTTTCAAAACACTACATGTATACAAACATTTTTTAAACTTTTTATTGTAATTTGGGTGAACATTTACAGAGTAAATGAGTTTTCCATTAAACAATTCATTCACATTTTGTCTTGTGGTATTGATTGCAATCCCTACAACGTAACCACACTCTTTCCACTTCCTCCCCGTGTTTCCAGTGTCCATTCATCCTTGTTTTTTGTCCTTGTTGCTTTATGAGCTTTGCCTCTGGACAAATGCTGCCCTTTTAATCTCAAATTGTTGGCTGTTATAAGGGATATGTATCTCCCTGGTGTTTCTTTTCACCGTATGTTGTTGCAAAGTGCTGTTGAATCATTTCTGACTCAGCGACCCTGTATAGGGGTCCCAAGGAGCGCTGTTGGGCTTGAAACACCAACCTGTGGTTAGGAGACCAGTACTGATCCTACAGCACCACACTCTCTCTACTTTTGACTGACAGCTGAGACACAGGGGTAAGTTAGGTTCCAAGCCTGAAGCATTCTTATGGCCATAGTCTTGTGGGTTTCTCAGTCTCTTTCTGACCAGTAAGCTTAATTTTCAGGCTTTTTTCCCCCACATTTTTTTCTCCCATTCGATCCATGACTTGAGTTCCTTCACAATGACTTGACAGCACTTAACAACATCTTCCAGGACCTTCTAATGTTATCCCTTTCAGAGCAGTTGGTAGTAGCAGTCAGGTACCATTTAGTGCTTCTTGTCCTAGAGGCTGATATTCCTAAATGCTGCCATACAGCTTTGGTTTTCTTCACTCTTTTTACTCTGGAAGAGGAGACACATAACATATTTTTTAGTAGCGACTCATGAACTCCTATTATTAATGCATGTTTACAGCTGTTTCTCTTCATTTTGAGTTGTGCCCCATCAGCAAATGAAGGGCCCGTGGGCTTTTCTCCCACGGGCTTTATGGTGTCATCATGGTCTTTCATGTTATCATGGTCAACTCTACTTTGAGGAGCCAGTTGCATTTTGAGTGCCTTGCAACCCGAGAGACGAAGTCCAAGGGGCATTGAAGGAATTGGCAAAGAACAAGGCACCAGGAATTGATGGAATAAAAATTGAAATCTTTCAAGAAAATGAGGCAGCACAGGAGGCACTCACTCATCTCTGCCAATGAATTTGGAAGACAACTATCTGTCTGAATGATTGGAAGAGATCTGTATTTGTGCCGATTCCAAAGAGAGGTGACCCAACAGAATGTGGAAATCATCGGACAATATCTTTGATATTGCAAGTAAGTAAAGTTTTACTAAAGGTAATACAGAAACAGCTGCAATCATACATTGACAGAGAACTTTCAGAGGTTCAAGCTGGTTTCAGAAGAGGCTGTGGAATGAGAGCTATCATTGCTGATATCCAATGGATCTTGGCTGAAAGCAGAGAATATCAGAAAGATGTTTACCTGTGCTTTATTGACTATGCAAAGGCTTTTGATTGTGTGGATCATGACAAGCTATGGACAACATTGTGAAGTATGAGTATTCTGGAACACTTAATTGTGCTCATGAGGAATCTGTACCTGGACCAAGAGGCAGTTATTCTAACAGAACATGGGAACACTGAATATTTTAAAATTAAGAAAGGTATGCAACAAGGTTGTATTCTTTCATCATACTTATGAGCAAATAACCCAAGAAGCTGGGTTATATGAAGAAAAACGTGGCATCATGATTGGAGGAAGACTCATTAACAACCTGCGATATGCAGATGATACAACCTTGCTTGCTGAAAGTGACGAAGACTTAAAAGATTTACTGATGAAGAGCAAAGACCATACATAACCTTCGGTATGGATTACATCTCAATGTAAAGAAAATAAAAATCCTCACCACTGGACCAATAAACAGCATTCTTATCAATGGAGAAAAGATTGAAATTGTCAAGGACTTCTTTCTTCTTGGATCAGCCATCAACACTCATGGAAGCAGCAGTCAAGAGATCAGACGACGTATTGCATTAGGCAAATCTGGTGCACAAGAGCTTTTTAAAGTGTTGAAGAGCAAAGATGTCAGCTTGAGGACAAGGGGTGGGGGTGGGGCTGACCCAAGCCATGGTATTTTCAAAAAGGTCATATGCATGCAAAAGCTGGACAGTGAATAAGGAAGACCATAGAATAATTGATATTTTTGAGTTATGGTGTTGGAGAATATTGAAAATGCCATGGGCTGCCAAAAGAACAAACAGATCTGTGTTGGAAGAAGTGCAGCCAGAGTGCTCCTTGGACCAGGATGGCCAGAATTCTTCTCTCATACTTGGGACATATTGTAAGGAGGGACCAGTTGCTTGAGAAGGATATCATGTTTGGTAGGGTGGAGGGTCAGAGAAAAAGAGGAAGACCCCCAAAGAGATGGATTGGGAAAGTGGCAGCATCAATGGGCTCAAGCTTGGCAACAGTAGTGAGGTTGGCCCAGGACCAGGCAGTGTTTCGTTCTGCTGTGCATAAGGATGCTAGAGTCAGTACTGACTCGATGGGACCTAACAACAACAGCATGGACTCCTGATGTGGTGCTGTAGGATCAGCACTGGATTGTGAATCACAAGGTGGGCAGTTCAAACTCAACACAGCTGCTCCTCGGAAACTCTATACAGGGTTGATATGAGTCAGAGTTGAGTGAACAACATTAACTTATAAGACCTCAGTCTCTAGTCACCAAAGTTGGATGTAGAATATTATCTTTGTGGATTGTTGCTAAGTGCTGTTGAGTTGATGTGGACTCATAGTGACCCTGTATAGTGTGTCTGAGACGCAGCAGGTGAGTTTGGTTCCCAGTTTGGTGTTGATTCTATGGCGCCACACTAGGAGTCTCATCTTTGAGGACTATGCTGTGCTTGTTGGCACAATCTCCTGAGACTATGGCCCTGACCCTCCACACCCAGTGACTCTTTCCTTAAAGGTGTTTGGTTAGGGTTAAGAAGTTTTCATAACTGTCCCTTGAATGTTTAACTACATGCATGAATATATTTGCAGCATAGGAAAATATGTATGTAGAAATATCTTGTCAAATCTATATATATTTGAAAAAGAAAACTACATTTAAAAGTGATGAACTATAAATTAGAATCCTATAGCTGCCGTAGCAAATTACCACAAATTGGGTGACTTAAAAGAACAAAATGATTGTCTCATATAGTTCTGGAGGTGAAAAGTCCAAATGTAAGACTTTATGGGAAGATTATTGTGCTCCTGGTATAATCCTTGGCGTGTGGCAGTGCAATTCCAATCTCTGCCTCCATCTTCACATGGCCACCTTGCCTCTCTGTGCCTCATCTTTTTTTTATTAGGATACCAGTCATACTGGATTGCACCCAACCAATGATCACATGTTAGTTTAATAACATCTTTAAAGACACTATTTCTAAACACAGTCACATTCATAGGATTCAGGCGTTAAATTTTTTGGATGACACCATAAAATCCTTAACTTTGCACATGTTACTTAACCTCTCTGTACCTTAATTACCTCATCTGTAAAACAGTGATGATAATATTGGCTTGCTGTGAAGAGGAGCTAAAACATGTTCTAAGTGCAATCCATTTAGGACAACGACCTACATACACATAGTGAGTTTGTCTGCTGCCTCATGAAAATAGCTTGTTCCTTTCTTGAAATCAGGGCTTTGGTGGTCCTCAGAATATACTTTAAGAATCTCTGTTCTAAGAGGTGGAGTCCTGCTGTGGTGCTGTGGGTTAATGCTCTGGACTACAAGGTTAGTTTGAATCATAAGGTCGGCGACGGCTCCTAGTAAACTCTATACAGAATCGCTGTGAGTTTGGCTGCACTTAACAACGTTCTAACAATTAAAATTAATTAATCCAGCATCAGTGGATTAAATAGCCATTTTGAGGTTTCACAGCTTGTGGATTTTCTTGTTAAAGAGAAAGATGAACCAGTGGATGGATATGCAGTGTTCTCATTAAAAAGTATCCAGCGAATACACAAACATGCCACTTTCCCCCACCAAAAGACCTAAAGCTGAAATGAGGGTTCCTGTCAAGTGTAAAGGTAGTCCTGGTGTGGCTCTGTGGGATAAGCACTGGGCTGCAAGGTTCAAATTCACCAGTCGCTCCTCGGAAACCCTATACAGGGTCGCTATGAGTCTGAACCGACTCGATGGCACTTAATAAGTCAGATGTCAAGAATGAAGAGGTATGATAAGCCCTAGGATGACCTGAGGTCTCTGAATTAGATAAATCAAAACGAGCTTCTAACATGCAGAGGTGATCGAGAGGAAAACTAAGGAATACGTATTTTAGGACAAAATTAGGCGGGAAGGTAAAAGTGTTATTGGGGGTTGAGAAGTAACAGCAATTAGGTCGGCACAGGGACTAGGAACTAAGACTGGCAAAATGGCAGAATGCGGAGAGCGGGGGACGAAGTGGCCGGGGCACTTTGGACTTCTCAAACTCTGTGTTACGCCATGGGGGTTCGAGGTAGGCCCAGCGTTTGGCAGAGATCACAGCTCCTCCAGTAAGTGGATTGGATTAAGACTTCCTTTCTCGCGTTGCTGGGAGCAGGGATGCTGAGCGCCTAGTAGGGAACCGATGCTGGAACTCCAGGAACCTGAAAGCGTCCCTCACCCTACAACGGGAAGAGCCCCGCGGCTAAAAGGTGGCCGTTCCGGGGCGGGGGGGAGGGGGGACGGGAGGAGGGGCTGGGGTAAGAAGAGCGGTTATGTTGCTTGGCAACCTAGCTTGAGCCCGCCTTCCTCGGTGTTGCTAGGAGACAGCGAGGCCAGGGGGAGGTGGGAGGAGGAGGGCGGCGGAGCCGGCCCTACGTGCTGACGCTAATTGTATATGAGCGCGAGCGGCGGGCTCTCGGGTCTTTTTTAGCGCCATCTGCTCGCGGCGCCGCCTTCTGCTCCTCCCGCCGCCGCTACCACCCTGAGTCACTGCCTGCGCAGCTCCGCCGCCTTGCTCCGCGCTCTAGCAGACGGTAACGGATGGGGCCTGAGAGGGAAGGGGAATATGGAGTCGGCCGGGTGTCCTGTGCGGGAGGGACGAAAGGTCCGGGAACGCAGGGCTGACGCCACGGGCGATCCGGCCTCCTTAGTCCAGTTATCGGCCCTGCAGCCTGTGAGGCGGTACCAGGGCCGCCAGCCTGATTTCCAGGGACGGCTGACTAGATGCAGGGCTCAGTGTGGCTTCCGGCCGTGCCTGGGTCGGCGCGGTCTGTGAAGGCCCGTGGCTGCGCTTCTCTGCCCCGACGTTACCGTAGCCTCACCGGCTACTACGCGCGCTAGGGACCGAGGCCGCGACGGGGCATGAGTGCCCTAAGGACTGGGCGCCAGCGCCTCAAGGGAGTAGGAGGCGCCCGAGCAGATCGGACCAGTGTGCATGCAAAGCTCGCCGGTCACGGCTCCCTACTTTCTTCTTCAAAAATGACTCCCGGAGGGAGGCCTTGGCAGCGGCGCGGGGGGCAATGCAAAGAACGGTGGAAGCTGCGAATTCCGACGGGAGAGTCGGAGGGGCTTTGTGGATTGTGGGGAGGAGGCCTCGAGGCGGGGAGGGGGTGGGGGCGGTTGCGAGCCTCCTAGCTTCTCCGCCCACTGGAGGCGGGCTCCGCGGTGGGAGGGGAAACCCCGGAGGCTTCCCTCGACACGTGGTAAAGAGCTGAGTGGCCTGCTGCGCCTGATCGCAGGCCCCAGGGCTATCCCTCCTTTGCTGGAAGTTGTAGTGATGGTGGACTGTGAAAATGAGTACACCTAGACTTGGGTTTCGAGTTCTTTTCTGCTGCTCTTTGTTAATCTTTTTTTGGGGGGGGAATAACAGCAGCCAGAGGAAAGTATTAATTCTAGCTGATGGATGATAATGAGTTAGGTTCTTAACTGCTAGGATTTTAAAGAATTGTTAGCTACTACTAACATAAGTCTATTTTGTGTATCCCAACCACAGTTAGAACATGAATGGGTGTTTGATGAGGATATTTTATTCGGAGAGGAAACCCAAAACACCAACCTACCCACGTCCATGGAGTCTGTAACTAGGACTCATTGGCTAGGGTTTCCAAGACTTAATCTTTGTGAGCCATCACTCTCATTTTTCTCCTTCGGACACAGCCAACTTGGATGTTGGCAGTTCATACTAGAGCGCTACCAGGGCTCCCGCTTCACAGAGGAAAGGTTGATCGTAATTAAACCAATACGCAGTTCCAAGATGGGAATTAAAGATTTGGCCTGTAACTTGTTTTTATTCATCAGGAACTTCTGTTGCTCTCTTAAATTCATTTTATTGAAATTCCCAGAATAAGATAATCAGCTGGCCGTTTTGCTTATGAGTCAATTCAGTGAGGGAAGGCTAGATTTGAAAGAGATGTTTATTGAGCCAAATTTGTAGGCTTCTGGTATGGCATTGTGTACTGAACTACTAACCTCAAGGTCATCAGTTGAAACCCAACAGCCCCTCCTCCCCCATTTGAAACCCTCTATTGGGTCCCTTTGATTTGGAACTCACTAGACTGTACTTAACAACCAACCAGCATCTTGTCAATTCATCCACTCTTGAGATTGAAGTCCAATGCTTTCAGAGGTTTAAAAAAAAAAGAACCAGGCACAGGATGTGTCCACAGGAGTTCACTCCTATTTTAGACTTGTTGTTGTTGTTATGTGCCGTGGAGTCGGAACCGACTCATAGCGACCCTGTACAGGGTTTCCGAGGGTGTAAATCTTTACGGGAGTAGAAAGCCTCATCTTTCT